TTTTTTTCTTTTTTTTTTCTTTTTGCTGGGGCGTCACGTTTGTGAAACGCACATACACATTTATGCTTATTACAAATAAGAAGTACACGCTACGTTATGTTTACTGAGATCATACTAATACATCACAGGGTTACATAGACGTAAGGTTATTCTCTTTTACTATTTTTTTTCGTTTCTTTCTCGACGGTAGACTACCTTCCTTCTCCTTCACCTAGGATTCGCGACCCTTTCAGATCTGACAGAGATTCAACGGCGTCTTTTGTCACGCTGGTAGAAAAGTGCCAAGGCCTAAAAAAAAAAAAAAAAAAAAAAAAAACTTCGCGCACAGCGTTTGCCGTTGAATCGTCGTTTTGTTTCGACAATTCGTTCGTGGATTTCACGGATGATTGCGTACGAGCACAGTCCGGCGAATTGGAAGTTTTGTCACGAGCAGGAGAATCAAAATTCAAACGCGCTCCACAAAACAAAACTGCTGCTGTTTCAATTTCTCATTTCTTATCGCGAGGCAACACACTCGCTACGCAAGTATCGCCCGCTATGAAAGCGCCATTGAAACATCGGGTACAGAGTGACCGGTATGGAAAAAACGACCGATTAGAATTCCACAACGAGTCAGTATCACCACTCATGGGGCGCACTTCGCGAGTGAACTACGAAAAAAATAGCTTGTAACCACCAGTCGTATTTTTGAATTATAATCTCAAAGTGGGAGAGCAATGACACGGGGAAAAAGTGTGTACCTGGGGGACGGGGAATGAGGGGGGAGGGAGGGTGGAGGGAGCAGGTGGATGGCGTTAACCAAATTATCATAAACAAAAAAGGAAAAAAAGAAGAAGAAGAAGAAGAGAGAAACAAGAAGTTGTAATAAACAGCTACCATTATAAAATCAATATACCATTTAAGATGTACAATTACATTTACATTAATAGTATACGTTTTACGTGAATTCATCTGCGATGAATGAAGGAAATAACAAAGGATAAATTTTGGTTCGTTCCAAAATGTACGTCAAATACCTCGTGCTCTCGTTAACACGGTATAAAACGATTCGAATACAAGTTGCATCCTTGCATAATCCCAAGAACCGTTTAAAGGCCTCCAGAAGCTACGATTTGTACTCTGTTGATTCCCAAATAAACCTACACCGTTCTCTTAGGTTCCGTTTGCTGCGCAAACGCGTTCAGCCAGTT